TGCCACATGGCCCGGATGGCGGCTCTTGAGGAAGTGGATGGTACCAGAATGACCTCGAGCCATTTGCTGTACGCGTCCACGAGTATAAAAAATAGTTGACCCTGGAATGGCCCCGCAAAGTTCAAGTGGAGCCGCGACCAGGGCTTGTGGGAGGACTCCCAGGCTCTAGCCGGAGCCCGGGGAGGCTCGGGCCAGGATCCTTGGCAGGGCAGACATCTCTTTACCCGGTCCTCGATGTCCCGATCCAGCCCTGGCCACCAGACGTAACTTCTGGCCAAGGCTTTCATCCGGACCACCCCTGGATGTGTCTCGTGGAGCGCCATGAGGACTCGTTCCCTTAAAGGGGATGGGATCACCACTCTGCCGCCCCACATCAAGCAGCCTTTGTGGGCCGACAGATCGTCCTTGCGGGATGCAAGCACAGAGAAGTCCGCCCCCCCTGGGGCCGTAGGCTACCCCCTTCTCACCCAGTCTTTGGCAGCGCGGCGCGCCACTTCACGAACGTGCACTGGTTGATCGGGAAGAGCCTCCAGAAGCGTGACCTGATGAGCTGGCGCCGGGTCCGGATCCATAGACGGCAGCGGAAGACGGCTCAAAGCATCAGCATGCCCCATCACTTTCCTGGGTCGATGGACAAGCGCGTACGTGTATCCTGCCAAAAAAACAGACCACCGGAGCACCCGGGGAGACGTTATCTGCGGGGTTTGGCGGTCGGGGGCCAGGAGGCTGAGGAGCAGTTTATGGTCCGTCAGGATCGTGAATGGCCGACCGTACAAGTAACATATAGTTAATGGTGTTTTTTTTTTTTTCCCCCTGCCACAATAGCCAGCGCCTCCTTGTCAATCTGCGCATAGTTACGCTCGGCAGATGACAAGGTGAGAGAATAATAGGCTACTGGAACCTCCCGGCTGTCCGGTAAGTGGTGGCCCAGGACCGCCCCGACCCCGCAAGGAGAGGCATCGCAGGCAAGGACCATGGGAAGTGCCTCGTTGAAATGGGAGTGGACCAAATTGGAGACAAGAAGGTCCTTTACCACCTGGAAAGCAGCAGCGTGCTCCGGGCCCCAGATCCACTGAGCATATTTATCCAGTAGGCGGTGCAGAGGTTCCACCACAGCGGCCTTCAGAGGGAGAAAAGAGTGGTAAAAATTTAACAGGCCCAGGATAGCCTGTAATTCTGTCTTGGACATAGGTGGGGGAGCCAGCATGATAGCCGTTGTTTTATCTTCAGTGGGGTGGATACCCTGGGCGTCTACGGCGAACCCCAAGAACTCCACCTTGGGAACCCCGAGCAGGCATTTTTCACACTTGACCTTCAGGCCGGCCGTGTCGAAACGCTGGAGCACAGCCCGCAGCCGGTCGGCAAAGGTCGAGGCATCCGGGGCCGCGATATGAGCACGTCGTCTAGAAACAGCTGCACTCCTGGAATACCTTTTAACAAATTGTCCATGAAAGATTGAAAGATGCCCGGTGCGACGCAGTTGCTGGGAGGGCTGGGCCAAGTCCAGTTTGCCAAAGATCCGTGCCCCTGCCAGTGCAGCTAACATGTGGCTGACCACCGGTACAGGATAAGCGTGGTCTTGGAGGGCTTTGTTCAATGTGCACTTATAGTTGGCACAAATCCCCATGTCGCTGTTAGGCTTGACCGGGGTAACCGCACGGTCTCCCACCGTGCGGAAGCGACGGGCTCTAACACCCCCTGGGCAACCAAGCGATCAAATTCTGCCTCAATCTTTGGCCTCATTGCAATAGGGGGGTGTCTGGCCTTGACCCTGATGGGGCGGACGGTCAGGTCAAGGTCTAAGGGTATGGGGCCACCGATGTATCTGCCGAGTGTGCCGTCAAAAACCCTGGGGAACTCATTGCACACAGCCGCAAAGTCCTCAGCCCGTGGCTGATTCACCCCCGTGATCGCCAGTCCCAGGGGCCCTAACCAGGAAAGTCCCAGCAGACTGGAGAGCCTCCTCCCCTCCACCAGCAAGTCCAATTTTCCATGGAAGTCCTGAAACTGCACCATAAACTTGCCCCAGCCCCGAACCGCCACAGGGTTCTTGTTAAAGTCCCGTAACTTAAACCTCTGTGGCTTACGCAGAGGGGGTCCCCCCTGCGGGCAGAGCGAGCGCAGCGTTTCCTCGGAAATTATTGAATAGGAAGAGCCAGAGTCAATTTCCATACTGCAGGGGGACCCCTCTATTAACACCGTAACGTGTACCTTATTTGGGCTATCGGGGGGCAAGTTACATACCAGGTGCTGCTGGTGATGGGCCGAGAGGGTATGAAGGTCGGTCTGTGGGTCTGATGCTCTCTGGTGGGCCAAAGTTTTCTAGGGGTGTTTCCGGGAACGGCAGACCCTGGCAAGATGGCCCGACTTGTTGCAGGAGTGGCAGACTGCGTCCCTGAAGTGGCACATCCTGCGTTCATGCGCCTCTCCGCAGCTGGCACAGGAAGACAATGCAGAGGAGGCTTTGGCCAAGGACGGTCCCCCCAAGCGATGCTGCTGTTGAGATGAACTGCGGTGTACCTGGAGCACTTCCTCGTCTTCTGAGTCGTCCGACTCGAGGGCTGCTTGAGTGCGATGGACTGCCCGCACGCGGCAGTCTCTATGCGCCTTTTTGTAGGCCACAACCTCCTGGAGCGCCTTGTCTAGGTCCAGATCATCCTGGCTAACCAGTTTCCTCCGAAGCTTGGGTTCTCAGAGACCCAAGAGGAACTGGTTTAGCAAGGCATCCACCAGGTTGGGAAACAAGCATCTGGTGGCCGCCCGCTGGAGCCCGGCCAAGAACTCGTAAGCCGACTCATCTGGCCCCTGCACCCACACAAAGAAGTCCATGCACTCAGCAAACTTTGTGGGCTTTGGTGAAAGGTGGTCAGTCAGCGCTTTCACCAGCACCACGTATGATTCGTCCTTAGTCTGCTTAGGCGCAATTAGGTCCTTGAGCAGCAGGACCGGAGGAGGTGGGCCTTCTTCTTACCTGGATCTACGATGTCATGGCAGTCGAAGTAACTCTCCAGGATCTTGAGCCAGGTCTCCCACTGTGCGGGGCGGGAGATATCGAAGGCAGTGATGCTTTCCTGGGAGGTAGCCATCGTGCTGCTTCCTCGTGGTAGTGGTAGCTTGGAAACGGCGGTGGCTGGATCGAGATGGGAAGTGCTGCTGCTCTCAGAGTCAGCAGGGCGAGGTATGGAGCAAGGAGCGGTGCGATGAGCAGCTACCGGCGAACCTGGGCAAGATGCGGAGCAGCGTGCAGCAGTCTCGGTGCTGGGGCTCGATGCGATGCTCGAATTTTCGTCTGGGTTGTTGTTCATGGGAGTTAGAATCCCATCCTCGTCGCCAGTGAAAAGTACTGAGACTTACTAGCGATTTCAGCTCTCATACTTTTATTTAGTTCGGAACAAGACAACTAGAACCGGCTCACAGGCCAGTTTATATGTGCAACAATCCCACACCCAAAACACACCCACACCCAAGTGATTGGTCATTAAGTGGCCGAGAGTTCCATGGGCTCTCGGCCGGGAGCCTAGCCCTCCTATTGGTGCAGGCTAGGATCCGCTTGGCCCATTGTTCCTGAGAGCAAAGCTCGGCCGCTTTGCATGACCGCGTGGCGACCTAGCCATGCATGTGGTCAGAGATGGATACATTACACCCTGCATCTCAAAGGCAGATGCAGTGGCACATCTCCAAGCACATGTCTCAGAGCATGCCCACAACCGTGGCTGAAGCGTCTGCATTTCAGGCCGTCTGTCTGTCCTGGGGTGCACAGCCCTGCAGCCTTCACAGGAAGGGTTTTGTGCAGAGAGATGCCAGGAGGGGTGAAGCTCTGGAAATGCTCTTCAGGACCAGCCACGGCAGTGAGGTGCTGTTCCGTCTACCCCATCCCCTCCACCGGAAGATGTGAATTGCTTGCTGCTCTACCATACTCACTCCGGTTCATCATTTTTAAAATGCTCTTTTCGGCCTGTTTGTCATCTCGGAGGGCAGTTGGTTTGCCCCCTCCCTCCCCCAGAAGGACGTTTGCTCAATGGAAATGGCTTCCCTTCCTGTAGCGCAACTGAAAACAGAACAACAACTCCTGAGGGTGAGTCAGGATAAGAAGGAGAGATGGTCCAAGTCCAGCGGGGGGGGGGGGGGAGGAAGGCTGTTAGTGGAGCAGCTGGGGGAGGGGAGAGTTTGTTTGTCTGTGTACATTATTTATGTTCTTGATCCTGGGCCTTTCTCGCAGGGGCTCGAGGCGGATGACACCGAGGGAGCCGGGACAGTCACCAAAAATGGGTCCTTCAGTAACCCATGTGTGGCAAGACAGTCCCACTCTGACTTGCAGACCCTGTTCTGCCCACCCCCTCCTTGGCTGGTGCCAACTCCTGAAGGGAGCTCTCCCCCTTCTTTCCACTGGGGTCTTCACTGCCACCACTGTCCTGTTCCACGCTGAGAGGGACAGACTCCCCGATCCCCTCCTCGTTCTGAGGCCCTGCCTCCTGGCCTCCCAGCACCCAGCGTCTGCTTACTACAGAGGCTACTGACTCCTTTGGGGCTCCCCTGGCAATGGGTGCCTTTACCACTCCCCTCTTCCCTGCGGATCCCCTGTGCACAACAGCGTGTCCAAAAGTGGGTGGGACACGATGTGGTACAGAGATTCACTGACAGCATCAACTGATTAAAATATTTATTAAAAAGAGAAAAAGTTTACAAGCATCCTTTAGCACCGTACGAGATGAGCAATATGGAAACAAAAGGGAGCGGTGGTGCAGGCAGTACAACGCCTGCAGTAACAATGCTAGTGAACAGCCACAATGGCTGTTCGAGACCCACCGCAGCCGGAGTGAGCTCCCGGCCCTAGTCCCAGCTCCTGCCCACCCAGCGGCTCAAAAGCATTCGCAAGTAGACACATGGGTACCTGCCCTAGGTGGCAGGGGGCACCCTCCTCCTGGTGGCGTGCCGGGAGTGCTGGCGGCGGCAGTGACGGCGGTAACAACAATGGCGGTGGAGCAACTGGCAACCGAAGGATGCGGCGACCGAATCAGATGGAGGCGGAGTTGAGGCGACGCGACAGCGAGACGACGCAGCACGGCAGGAGCCTACGGGACGGAGGCTGGAAGCTGCAGTCAGAAGCGGTCGTGCGTCGGAGGAGTCCACCAGAAGCCTGCCGGAGGTAGTCGCCGGCCAGCTTGAGGCACCGGGAACAGCATCCGAAGCCCACCCGGGAAATCAGGAAAGGGGAGAGAACGCGCCGCTTGGGTGTCGGTAGGCAGCCCCTCCCCCTTCGAATCTGTAAACTGCTCTGAGACCCCCTAGGGGTCAAGGGTGGTATATAAATCAAATTGTAAAGTAAAGTAAAAAAGAAGAAGTTGGGAATAAGCACCATCCTTCTGTCCCTCTCTTTAAAACATACTCTATCTAGATGTCAAAATTAGAGCAGGCAAGTATTCTTAGAAAGTTACAAAGTCCCTAAAGCTCTTCTATTACTTTACGGCTCCCTGCAGGCCTCCAGACAGACTGCATGCTCCAAAATGATGGCCTGCTCCCAACCTCAGACAAGAGGTCTGCTGAGTTCAGCATCCGAAGATGTTTTGTTAAGCCCCTGTCTCCACCCACTTGACATCACTCCCTCCACCCCTTTTGACCCAGTCCACTCAGGTCACAAGGTGCATCCTGGGTCACACAGGTGCATTCTGGGTGCCCTCCTGGAAGGCATTCTGGGAAATCTCCAGGAATCACCTGGAGCTTTCCTCAGGTAGCATCAGATCCCTCAGTGGACTCTTTCAACCAGGTCATTAGCATTTCTGTGGCTGGGATCTGCCATGCAATTGAACTGGCTCCACCCATTCTTTAGACTAAGGGGGGAGTAGGGAGGGGTAGTCCACTGACTGCCAACCTCCCTTCAGGAGGAAAATGCCTTTCTTCACACCATGCGTTCGGATTTCAGACGTCTGGAACCACCAGAAAGAAGCAGAAGCACAGAAATTACATAAATAGGATCCTACTTACACAGTCCTTAATGATTTATCCAAGCAAGTTTGTAAAACCATTTTGTGCAGTCCAGCCTTATTACCTGTGCAGAACAGCCCTCTGGAACAGTTCCATTCTGCACAGTTTGCGGAAGGCCGGGAGAGGGGGAGCTTTTCTGACCTCTTTGGGGGAGGTGGTGGGCCACAGTGGAGAAAGCACAGGGGTAGGGGCAGTGGTTGATTTTGCCCCTTTGCAGGTTGGTGCCTGCAGAAACCTCTGCGGACATGAGCAACGTTGTTGTGGCAGAGAATGGAGAGAGAGGCGGTCCTGTGGATAAAGGGGGGCCAAGACCACGAAGGGCTTCATATGTGACAGCCAATACCTTAAACTGAGCTCAGTAACAAATGGGCAGCCAATAAGGGTTATCTGCAGGACAGGAGTTATCTGTGTGCTCCGTCTGGCTCCTGTTAACAGCTGAGCCCTGGCATTCTGGACTGGCTGGAGTTTCCGAGGGGAGACCCATGTATGGTGCCTTTCAGTAGTCTACTCTTGATGGGACTGCGGCATGGATCCAGGTGGCCAGGTCAGCCATATCAAGGTGAGGGGCCCTCTTCGGAGCTAGGCTGAGTTGGCATTAACTTGCTTCTCCAGTAATAAAACTGGATCCAGCATGACCCCAAGGCTTTTAACTGAGACTGCAAGGGTCAGCTGAACTCCATCAAAAGTGGGGAGAACGCAGTGTCCTCCAAGACCCCCACCTTCCCAGCCAGCATTGCCTCTGTCTTCTCAGGGCTGAGTTTCAATTTGCTCACTTTTAGCCAGATCACCACTGCAGCCAGGCAGCGATTCACTTGGGATTTGGATAGGGATATATATATGGCTGAGGGTCATCAGCATATTGATGACATTAGTGGCATCTGATGAATCTGAAGTAGTGTGCATGCACACGGAAGCTTATACCCAGAATAAAACAATGTAAAAGGTGATCAGCTTAATCGGAGCAGAGGAGAAATGGTTTGTTTTCTTTGCAAGGCAAGAGACGTTCAGAGGTGGTTGGCCACTGGCTTTCTTTTGTATCGCAACCCTGGCCTTCCTTGGCGGCCTGCCTTCCAAATACTGACCAGGGCCGCCAACCCTGCTTAGCTTCCGAGATCTGGTGAGATTAGGCTGGCCTGGGGCCGTCCGGGTCACCAGTGCTTAGGGGCAGAAGATTAGCACTTGTAGTGAGATAACAGAACAAAGTTTGAGTCCAGTGGTACCTTTAAGACCAACAAAGTCTGATTCTGGGTATGAGCTGCAGTGGCTCAAGTGGTTAAGATGCTGAAGTGCAGGTTGGAAGGTCGGTAGTTCAGCAGTTTGAGACCTGAGTGTGCCGCATGACGGAGTGAGCTCCCGTCTCTGGTCCCAGCTCCTGCCAGCCTAGCAGTTTCGAAAGCAAGAATTGCAAGTAGATAAATAGGTACCGCTTCGGTGGGAAGGTAACAGCGTTCTGTGCGCCTCGGTGTTTAGTCATGCCGGTCACATGACCACGGAAATGTCTTTGGACAGCACTGGCTATTCAGCTTGGAAACGGAGATGAGCCATGCAACCCTAGAGTTGGATTCGACTGGCTTTCGAGCAAGGGAAACCTTTACCTATAAGCTTTTGTGGGTGTTATGTACTGAGCCAGAATGGGACTCGGTGAAGGACCTAGCTTGGGGTTACCAAACAATAGATAGCCAGGATCCTGGAAGGAACCTATAGAACAGCAGTTCTTATGTAAATAGCCTATCACGGGGAGTGTGTGTGTGTTGCGTGTGGTGTTTTGCACGCATTTAAGCAGGGTTCCGCTCCTGCTAGTTTGTCTTAGAGTTTAGCTGAAATCACTAATAAACTATGAGCTGATCACTCAATGCGTCTGAACCCAGTATATTTCAGTGGGCATGCACACTTCTTCAGATACTGTATCTGAAGTTATCTGAAGAAGTATGCATGCACATGGAAGCTTATACCCAGAACTAAACTTTGGCACATGAAAGCTTATACCCAGAATTAAACTTTGCTGGTCTTAAAGATGCCACTGGACTCAAACTTTGTTCTGTTGCTTCAGACCAACACGACTACCCACCTTAATTTGTAGTGAAAGAAGACTCCTATATCCCTATTCAGTCCTGGGGGGATCCATTGTTCTGAATTTGAGAATGAGCTTGAGTTCAGCTCATTCCCTCCTTGAAGCTTCTCTGTTTGAGGACTGACACTCTCAGGTCAGCAATGGAATGTCCTGGAACATTCAAATATTCTCCTGCTGGTTTTTGAACACTGTGATTTTTTATGTCAAATTAATTTCCATTTTTTTCCTTTTGCATAGGAACTGGTCTGTTTGTCTGATGTAGAAAGTAGAAGGGGATTGCTGACACTTGATGGCTTATATAATATTGGAACATCTTCCAACAAGTGAATGAATCTGAGGTGATATGGCTGGAGTTTTTAGGTCTGGCTACTGTGTTGTCCGAGTGGTTATGGGGACAGAGTTGGCATTCTGGCTTACTGCAGGCCCTGGTCCCAGACTCTGTGTCCTTGTTAGGAAGGGGGTATTGCTGTGGGTGAGAAAGGTTAGGAGGCTGTCTGTGGGCAAGAAGAGGACTGCCTCCCAGTGCCCGTGAGAGGGGGGTATCATTGTCCAGCATAGGTTGTAGGCAATGCTCCCTCTAAGCTGTGGAGTCTTGTCAGCAAAAATTCTACTTTGTGAGCTACTGACATTAAAGTTGTGAGCAGGTGATTTGGCTACTGCATAAATTAGCTTGCTCTGGAGCCATCCAATGCTCCCTCTAAGCTGTGGAGTCCTAAGAAGAAGAAGAAGAAATTGGATTTATACCCTGCCCTTAACTCGGAGTCTCAGAGCGGCTTACAAACTCCTTCCCCTTCCCCTCCCCACAACAGACACCCTGTGAGGTGGGTGGGGCTGAGAAAGCTCTGACACAAACTGCTCTTTTTCAAGGACAGCTATGCCAGAGCTTGTGACTGACCCAAGGTCACATCAGCACGTGCAAGTGGAGGAGTGGGGAATCAAACCCGGTTCTCCCAGATTAGAGTCCTCTCTCCTAACCACTACATCAAACCGCACACCTAAAGAGCAAAAATTCTACTTTGTGAGCTTCCAGCATTAAAGTTGTGAGCAGGTGATTTGGCTACTGCATAGTTTGTTCTGGAGCCATCCTTCCTGAGCTAAGACAAACATGTGTGAGCCCGAGGCTAAAAAACTGTGAGTTAGTGCACACTAAATCAGCTTAGAGGGAACACTGGAGCCATCCTTCCTGAGCTAAGACAAAAATGTGTGAACTGGGGGCTAAAAAACTGTGAGCTAGCTCACACTAACTCAGCTTAGAGGGAACACTGGTTGTAGGACGTTAATGATGCATTGACCCGGTTTGAGCTGAGAGCTGTATGTGACCACCAGTGGTGTTCTGTTGTTTTGTTTTGTTTGGGCCTGTCTTGTAGCAGGTCGCTCCTTGGTGTCATTCTGGCTTTGTTGATCTCTTTCCTTACTACACCAGGTGGGTATTGTAATTCTAAAAATGTCTGTTGTAGATCCTGCAGGAGAGAATCTTTGTCAAAGAGACTGGAACAGAGACGACTGTAGGAATGCATCATTTGGTGCGTTTAGGACGGCAACTGGAGGTGAGGACTGGCCAGTAGGAGACCAGCGGGAGAACATTTTAACCTTCCAGAATGTCCAGGACATTCCACTGCTGACTGAAGAATGGCAGTCCTCAAGCAGAGCAAGGGTAGATTACAGTGTGAGATGGCTAGATTTGAGTTCATTTACAAAATCCAAGCCCTGCCCCGCACACCTAAAGGGGGACATAAGATTCTGATCTCGCTACAAATGCTAATTTTCTGCCTCTAAGCATTTGTCCCTTACCTAATCAAGCCGATTACATTTTGCATTGTCCCCGTGCACCCCGATGATTCCTTTCTTTGCAACACTCCCCTTCCCACCTGGAGAAACACCCCCATGCTCTCCCACTGCACCGCCATGGGCGCTCTGGCCGCTCACAGGTCCTGACACCCACAGGGCCGCCTGAGAGCCACTTCCAAGCCAACGAGATAGCCTTTTAGCTGTTTGGTTCACACCAGCCAGATTGGGAACGGCCCCATCAACGGTTCTCACAGTCTTACTTACTACAAA